CCTTGTCACTCGGGCGCGAGATGCGGCACGCGTGTCGCCGAAGCCTTGCCGCCCAAGGCCCTGCCGCGACCACCGGCGGCGGCGCCAACGGGGGGGAGTAAGAGAGAGACGAAAAAAACAACAACAAAAAAAAACAACAGACGTGCTCGGATTCAACGGGAAGAAAGAGAGAGGTGAATGAATACATAAAGTTGGCTAAGGATCATCTCTAGATAGGCACCCGCAATCTTATTTTAATCTTTTTTATTTCTTCATAAATATTTAAAATATCAGGAAAGTTCAATGTGTCCATTTTATTGTGATTTACTCTCGAAATTAAAATTGTATATTCTTATTTCAGAATGCTCTGGACTTGACAGCGCCTGCCAGTGATATTTTGCTGAAGAATCGTCAGAATAATTGGTTCCAACTGTCTGGCCATCCAGACTGCTTTGCCCCTGCTGGGCCTGGCACTATTTGGAAGAAGCGAAGTGGTGGTCCTGAAAATGCTGAGAGAGAAGTATATGAAGAACTTGGATCTGACCCTTCCATGCAGAATATTGTTCCTCGCTACTTCCGTGAAGTTGACTACAAAGGGGAGAAGTTCATTGAATTGCAAGATCTTCTGCATGGCTTTAGTGATCCCCATGTAATGGATGTGAAGATGGGCACTCGCACTTTCCTGGAATCGGAAGTGGAGAAAACGGCAGCACGCCATGACCTTTACCTCAAGGTAAATTATAGTTCACTAAACTTATGTTTTCCATGCTGCTTCACAATGTATACCCACTTCTAAGCCATGTGTATGTATACAAGATCTAAGAATTGCTTCTTTTATAGATGGTTCAAGTTGACCCTACTGCACCCACTGCAGAAGAACATTCGCAGCAAGCTGTAACCAAGCTCCGATACATGCAGTTCAGAGAGCAGCAGAGTTCAACTTGCAGCCAAGGATTTAGAATAGAAGCCATGAAGGTAAGCAACTGATGCATACTATCTCTTTAAAAAATAAGAATTGAATTCAGTCTTCTTTATTGTCACATTAATAATAAGGTCCTTTTAGTTTTGATGGTTTTAATCACACGATGTCTTTGCTTTTCCAGTTTCGTGGTTCACCTCCAATGAAGGATTTGAAGAAAGTAAAGTCACGAGATGAAGTGTTAACGACAATGGCATTATTTCTTGGAGGGAGGGAAGATGTACGTCAGCGTCTTCTAGAAAGACTGAGAGAGATACGCTGCAAATTTGAGAAGTCAGAATATTTTCAAAAACATGAGGTAAATAGTCATTATTTTTATTTTATATTTTTCCATCTGTGTGCATTTTCCTATTATAACTGGATTTGTATCACGCTTTTGTGAAAAGTAAAGCATTATTTTTTTTCTGATACAGGTTGTTGGCAGCAGTATCTTCATGATTTATGATGATACAAAAGTTGGAGCCTGGATGATAGATTTTGCTAAGACTTTACCTGTACCAGAAGGTTCCACAGTAAATCATAGGCAGCCATGGGTTCAGGGCAACCATGAGGAAGGCTTCCTGTTTGGATTAGACTCTCTCATAAGTGTAAGTATTACTTTTGAAAATCTAAGGAATGAAATTAATTTTAAATTTACTTAATCATCTTTACTATAGTCTGGCCAATGTCTAACAAAATTCATGTTCTGTCTTCAGGCAATGGAAGAAGTTAACTTGAAGCAGTTGCCCTCACCATCCTCAAAACCTGAAACTCACAAAGCATCTGCAGTGCCTTTGAAATCATGAGAAATGTTCAACGCAATACTCTAGGGCTTCAAGACTGAAATTCAAAGCAAGCACTTGCCACTCAGAGACTTGCACGTGTTATCAAACTACAGAAAATGAGAGAGATTTACAGACCAAGCACCAAGAATAAAGTTCTCCATCTATTTGGGCAGTGACTTGCGTCAAGCGATCGCTTTCCAAATGTGTTGGTGATTATCATTTTCTAATCTGAAAGAATATGTACAATTACTTTCCTGGTGCTATTATGTGATAATGTATCAAATGAAGAAAATTTCTGATGAATACTGTCTTTTGTTACATATTGTAGACCCTCTGGGTTTTGATGTTTCTAGTCCTGAAGGATTTCAATGTTAGAGAATATTGGAACAAGCATTTTTATAATATAGAATTACAATAAATCAGCTTTTCCTCTGCCAAATCTAAGATGTTCTTTGTGCATGCACTAAAACTAGTATTTAAGAACACATGCTGTGGCATGTTTATACTATTTATTTAATATTTGCTTTGTATCAATACACCAATAAAATAGTGACATGTTTTTAATTTCTCCTCTTATTTTCCACATTCACTAGTTAGTACTCGGTAACAAAGTTTGGATTACTCATTACAAAAACTACTTTTTTATTAATTTTCATTTTCCATACATTTTGGGGAAAAAGTTTGTTTTGGATAAAGACTTAGAAAAATAGGAGTATTGGGAAGGGATCACATTTTCCTTATAAACAGATTTTATAATAAAAATACTGATAATTATTAATTGAATTAATGCCAGTAAATTTTTTTTCTCCTGGTAGATTGATCAACGTAAATCTAATAAATACTCCAAGAGGGTAGAAAACGAAATATCACATGAAGTATCAAGCAGCAAGGGTAATGAAAGACACTAAAATTATGTGCAATCTTTTCTAGTGCTATGATGGTAAGTTTCATACCATGGCCATTTTGTGTGAATGCACTAAGTCAAGGTTTCAAAGTTGAATTTGACACTACTTGGAAATTATACATTAATGATATGTAGGTCCTGACAGTTTGCTGAAATCATGACTCGCAAATATGAATATGATAGTGAAGGAAACCATGTACAGACTTACAAATAAAAAACTTTTAATTTCTGCTCAGTAGATATTTCATTATTATTATTCAACTAAGATCCCGTTGAGGGTGAGGGCTTTTTGCCTTTCGAAGAGAATGCTGGATGAAGTGATAGGGTGGTGTTTGTTGAAAGGACTATGATGATGGCGGAAGTAAGATTAGGTTGTGATCATGGCATTTTTAACCATTCCAGCTTGGCCTTATGACCAAGGGAAACCACAAAATCCCCCGGCCAGGATGGCCGACCTGGGGATCAACCAGAACCTCCCGATTGTGAAGTCAGCAGGCTATGCACTGCACCTTTGAGCACTTCGCTCAGTGCACGCTGGATATTCAGTGATAAAACAAAATCCATATGCTGGAAATGATTATTTCTCCAGAATAATAAAAAAGTTATGTCTCAAGGTGTAATTCGGAAGAATATGTGCAAAAGAATTATTGACATGAAGCCCGCGGCGAAGTCAAAGACCTGTGTGTGTTTCGCATGGGTTTGGGGGAAATAATAAAACCGTTCACCTCACTACATTCCACCTGGAGCCGGGGAGCAGTCGTGCCCTAGCTGGGAAGTGAAGATTCAGTGGCCCTGGAAAAACGAGAGAGAGATCTACTGAGTTCGGGAGAAGCTAGCGGCAAATAGCAGTGGCGCGAGAGGGCAGCCCAGACAGTAGAAGCTCTTGGTCCATTAGGTCTTGGCCGCACCAGATACCGGACGGCGAGCAGTGAGAGCAACGCAATCGCTCAAGACTTAAACTACATTTAAACCTATCATAGTGGCCACTAATGCTTCTGCCAAAAATTGGATGCCCAATTAAAGTTATAAGATTACAGAACTCGTGGTGGATAATGTGTATAAGTTGCTATGAATGAAATTTTCATAGAATTCGTTTAATTAAAATAAGTTAAACAAGGATAAATTGATCTCCTCTATGAAGTCCAGGCACACATGTTACTCAAGAAATCCTTTACGGACTAAATTAACACCAGCTCACCGAACCGAACTCTCAAGCAAACTAAATTTGAAGATCCATGTAACCTGTAGAAACTCTACACCACGACCGCCTAATGAATGGCCGAGTTCGCGTACGTGGCATGCTCCACTGGTCGTAGACAAGATCCCATAGAGGAGATGCTGGGCGGGAACTCGTGAGAATGGGCAAAGCGAACTATCCGTATTTATCCGATATTTTTTTCTTTCGCGTATTAGTAAATTCGGACCACGCGCCCATCCCGCTTCAGCAAGTGCAAGAATCTTTCGAGGGGGGGGGGGATTTTAGCTGATTCCTGATTTTTATCCCCCAATGTCGTTAGCCCTGGGGTTATGACCTACACAAAAGGGGGAACCGAACCCGCTGTATTCTGAACAGAGGCCGCTACGGCACTATTACCGAAACGATTTCTGCAATCTGACCGGCTTACCCGAATATAAGACGAGTTCGTTTGTTGTTGTTTTTTCTGTCGAAATATCTCAGTTGAAAAATGTGGGGTCGTCTAATATTAACAGATTTAAGTTTAGTCGGTCAGGGTTTAACTTTTTACATTGCCATTCCATGTCACGAAATTCGTAAAGGTTGACGTTACAATACACTGCGAAGGCAGAAAAAATATCACGCGTAATACGCGCCGCTTATCTACAATACGTAATTATATTAGCGTTCGTACGTTCAGTAACCACCCCGAATTTGCCGGCAATTAAGGCCGATATTTTTGACTTGGCCTGTAAAGAGAGAATTTCAAAACTAATAACACGGTATTAAATAAAACGTAACGTGAAAGTGAATGCGATTGCTGTTACACGCGTGTTCGAAGTGGCCGCGCGGAATCTCGATTCGACGCCCGACGACTGCGAAACAGGGTTTTGAACAGTAATGGAAACGGAGGCCATCAGAAAGTGTGGAATGGGTAGAAGATATGGTGACACAGAAAGGAGTGTTCTTAGGTGGCGTGTGATTATTTCTATGAACATCGCCAATTTAGTCCGAAAAACTTTTAGAGAGATGTCGCAGCATGGATGGGCCAAAAAGAAAGAATCATTGACATATGTGATGATGATTAGCGTAGTGGAAAAAACCATGATTATGATTTTAAGGAACAAGAAAATGATAGTTCAGCAATACGTCGTAACATTGTCAATTTTGTAGTCAATAGGACAATTTTCAATTTTATTTTATCTAAATAGTAAAAATTAATTAAAATTTTTAAATAATTCTCAGGTGTCTTCTTCAAAATTAGGGGTCGTGTTATATTCGGGCAAATACGGTATTTGTTATTTCACTCGTACTTATAAAATTTGTCTATTGTTACCTGAAACAAGTTCATCCCTCAGCGACATAAGCGACTAGATTTCAACGTATTCTGACATCAATTCCGGTCGCAAGAAGATTCTGAATCAACAGTAATCTCAACCGCTTATCTTCTTCTTTTTCTAGTTGAGTTTAAAATCACTAGAGGTGACAAGACAGTATCTACGAAATGTGCCTGGCGACTGGCGTTTCAGATGACCGCTTAAAATAAAAGAGGGAATATTGTCACTGTCTTATGGAAAAATCAAGTTCCACGAAAAAATCACCATTAATAGAGATTGCCGTTTAATCGAAGTGGCTGTTTAAGCATGATTCTTTGTAGCTGGTTCGGGTTTCAAAGGACGCCCCAATTGATGGTGATAAAGTATTGTTTGACATTGGCAAAAAAGCTTTTCCCCATCTCAATCTTGTCTCGATGTCCTTGTGCACTCATAGGGGGAGTGGTCATACATTTAATGAAATGTAATGTAGATGCAACACTGATCAATAAACATAAGTATAAAAAGGCGTCGTGAGTACTCAATTCAAACAGATGCCTATCTGTTATATAACCCATAAGTTTGCACAACTTGATCCTCGTGCATACGGGCGCAGAGTGAAAAGATAAGAAAAGTAGTTAAGCTCGAAAGATCTGTTTTGAAGATCAGTTGCTACGACAAGAAAATGAATAAAGAGATTTGTGACAACGGCAAACGAATTACAGATTTTATTTGATCATGTTTGTGACCAGATGCATCCAGAGAAATCAAGGGACCTGGGGCAGTTGACCCAAGGGGGGCCCTAATTTCAAACAAAAAAAATCCTTCTTCCCCAATTAATAAACAGAATTTCTCCATGTATCAGAAATAACTTATAGGGTTAAATTCGAATTAAGAAATAAATATACTTTTGATTTCTTTTTAATGAAAAAATTCGGGGCCTGAGGCTAGTTGCCTCAGCTATCCTCCTCTTCTGGATGCCTCTGTTTTTGAAGAAATAACCTTCTCCCTGCCATTCTCCAAAAATAATTTATAGTGTTAAATTTGGATTAGATATACATGTGTGCGCATAAGCTTCCGCGGCTCGAGTTCTTGAATTCTGTCCGGGAATGCTGTCCGGGTGACGCCGCGTCGTTGTCTGAGAGGCCGACTTTTCTCCTGTCATGTTGCAGGCTCCCTCTGCCCTGAGGATTACTTACATGTGTTAAGGTCGGCTGCTTTCGAGAGAGCTCATTTCGCCCTTCCCGCAGGATCTCGGCTTCCTTCAAACTTACCGCATGTAATGACTACGGAGCCGTGATGCCGTGCAACAGCATGACGCTCCGACATCAAATATGGAGTATGTATACGTGTTGATTCGTTACCTTAACAACGTCTACCCTGGATTTTAAATGTTCTGTATGAGATTACTCTCAATGTAAATACACGTTTGAAGCAAATTCTCCCATGCAACATACCGTGGGGTCTTCGGGCTTATCACAACATCTCGAGAAAGGTCATGCTGTTGGAGTACCATTAGTTTTTAATAAACACTGTGTAAGTCAAAAATCTATGTCTTCAATTTTTTACTTTTGAAATGTTAACTTTTTACAATTTTTGAAAAACGAAAAGTTTACCGAAAATGGGACTAACCATATTTTTAATCTTCTCTTGACATATATGAGGAAAGAAATTGAACACGAAATTAGAGCGTTTTTTTTTTTTGAGAAAAAAATGTTAAAAAAATTATAATTGCCTATATTTCGCGCAAAATTACAAGAAAGACTAATGTTTTCGAAAAAATGAACATGTCCTTATTTTAATATGTCATTAAATAACAGCTTATTTTATGGAAAAATATTTCTAGTGTCAATATAATAGTTGTAGTAAGATGCCCAAAGAAATTGCACTTTAACAATTTTCGAAACCTCTTGTATTTCAACGAACACGAGACCTACGCCATTCTCCTAAGCGTCCTTCATGCTCTCAAAGTACAAAGTTTAATCAAAAAAATTGAAGCCATTTTTGAAAAGGGGTTTAAATATGTTTGAGACTTCATGTAAAAAAAAAAAAAAAAAAAAAAA